AAAGTGTGCAATTAGCTTTTTATCTGCAGTTACATGATGCATCCTCTGTTTTAGTTTAGAACATCACCTTAGTGGGTGGTCATGATCTTTCCTTGTATCCAGGCCCTACCTTCTTGACACCACATTTGATGTTGGCTCAGCGCCCAAGTACCAAACTTTTGTTTTTGTTGAGTGTGAATGAAATAGGGAATGCAACAATCAGCAAAGCAAGAGGCAGACCATCAGTGAGACTGTAGCCGGCCAGGACATTATGGCTACATTCCTTGCTAGTTAAGTCACTATGGTAAAATCCTTGGCAAGGTTTTTTTTTCAATAGTTTATTCATGATGTTCATTATTATGAGTTGTAAAGAGTATGAGAATTTCATTTTTAAAATGTCTTATGGAATGTATCACTTTCTTAGATCTTGTAGACATGCTGTGGAAACCATAACATAAAATATGAGTTACTTACAATAACTAATTTTAATCCCATCTGCTAAGTATGACAACATTAGCATTTCCACTTAATTAAAAACACCCTTAAAGCAGCAATGTTTTAATCACTCCATTTTATTTACTCTCCTCCGGTGTCACTTATAATTGTAACTTTTTATTTTTTAATAATGAGGGATTTTTTTTTCTCCTTGCATCACACAAAAAAGTGCTGTCGATAATTAGCAGTCTTCTGTTATTAGCAGACTCAGGTGTCACAACTGTGTCTCATCCTCATTACAGTAAAAAATTTCACCTATCAGATTCATTATTGCTAGATAATGCGACTGAGAGCCTTTGCAAGCCCTCCAGAAAAGTAATTCAGCCAAGCAAAATTATCAGCTAATTATATTTAGAATCAAAAGCCCAACAACTATTTCCAGATAAATTGTATGAATTGAAGTGAATAGATCTGAATATTAAGATTCATAGATTTAGCAGATGATTTGTTAATTGGAATAAAAAGGTCATTTGCTAGTCATTTTAACAATAGATCAATTGGAACCCTATTTATTATTTAACTGGTAGCGCATAAGAATTGAAATGATGAATAATTGTATTATTGTCACAAGATGATAGGGTTTTTTCCCCCAAAATAAAATATGAAAAACTTATGGGAATGAATTATATAAATTTTTTTAAAAAAATAGTACGACCTATATACTATATTTTAAAACATAGTCCAAATACAAATAATGTATACAGTAAGATTTGGTCTTTTAACAAGTCAAAATTATACTCAAAAGTGGTGGGTTTTTTTGTTTTGTTTTTTAATGAATTAGAAACATAAGATAATTTACCAATACAAGTTGAAATCAGATTTGTGAATTTTTTCATCCTAAATCAAATAATGTCATTCCTATCTCACTGTATTTTAATTAGCAGAGGTTTTTTTGGAAATGGCATGGTACATGCTCATGCGATGACTCAAAATGTTACTTGGCCTGCAATTTTCTTTCGGGGAACAGAACACTCTAATTCAAATCCATTATTAAAAAGCAGATAACATGTGCACTTTCTGAAATGCCTGTGACTTCACTCTTTTGATTTTATGTAATTATAAGAGAATGTTCGTATGTATTTGCTTTTCGACTAGCACTGCATTTTTAAACAGAGTGTCTTCAGATAAAGTGCATATTTTCTTTTCGTTCATAAAGAATATCTCTGGTTTACGTGCTCAAAACTTTTGTGAATGTTTTATAATGCAGTCACAGAGCCGTTCAGAGCTGTGCTTCCGACCAGAATTTCTATGCGGACCCTCTGTATGGAGAGGAGAGAATATTAGATATTAGTTTGGATTTTGAAATTAATAATTGCTAACTAGACCCTGTGCCTTGCCACCGTGTCATTTTGTAACTCCTATCAGTTCTCAAGAAAAACTTTGAACTCAGTCTTTTTCTAAACTTTGTAGCTCAAAGTAAATACTTTTTCATTAAAACTAATTTCAGTCCACAGTAAATCAGGGAACACATCGCCCACTTAAAAACAGTTTAAAGTACAAATAAATAAATAAATAAAAACAAATTGCCTGTACTTTGTCACTGTAAGTAATCGAGGTAAACATTGACATAACTTCAAATCATTCTTGGGTTGAAAAAAAAAATCTGCAGTTCAAAATAAAATTCCTCTTCTGGTCAACGTTTTGGATGCAATTCAAAGTGTCTCATAAAATAAACATATTTAAAGAGTGTTTTGAATTTCACTGCATAATTCCTAGCCAACAGAAATGACAGTGGTATCTTTAAGGTTTAATATGTCAGATCAGTAGCCATTATCCAGGACAGACACAGCCTTCAAGGTGCATTACCTTCCCTCTGCTTAACTCTCACTGCAGTAATGCGGGGGAAAAAAATCTGTAGGTGGTCCTGGGGAAAGCCTGTCACAAAACGAAACTTTCTGGTTTCTTTGTTTAATAACAAAAGTATTCTCTTCTGATAAAATGGAAAAAGAGCCGCATGTTTTAGTCCAGAAAGCAGAATGTCCATGGAGGTAGTCTTCATGAGCATTTTTCAATAAAAGGGGGACCAGTTTGCTATTCCGCATAATAACAAGTTGTTTGGAGGCACGAGCTACAAAAGGAAAATGCCCCATCACAACAGATTGTAAATTTTTTTTCCCCCTGATGCTTTGAAAAGTGCCTCGATCATTTCTACGGCTACAGTGTTGAAGTTAAGTATTTGCTATTTTATTTAAACATTTTTGGAAAATGAACATTCGGGGGCTTCGCAGCATTATTAAGAAAAGCTGCCCATACTTTACCATGTTGTTACATGTGTTTATCTGCTGATTATAAAATGTGTTAAACAGTATTTTAAAAACAAAAAAAATGCAGAGCTGCGCTTTGATTAATTCAGTGAACAAAACATATGCTGTTGGTTCTGTTCTATGAAATGCATATATGATCAATAAAATCTTTTAAAAGAGCAACTTTGGCTTTTAGGCTTGTACTGCCGACCATGATTTTCACCCCAGCTAACTCTGGGCTCATGCTGTTCACTTAGGCTAACCAAACTGCTTTCTGGCTATGACAGGAATGTCTTTTTAATACATCTTTGTCCTCTTTCTAACATTTCTTTAGGTTGGAAGCTGTGTGTTGTGGTTGTTACCCACTTTGTCCCAAAGATTTGGTTTATCCCGAAATATTTCCAGGTAGCTGCTTTAATGTTCTCTCGTCTTTGTTGGGATTTAATACATGATTCGTGCTAAATGCGAAAGTTTGAAAATAAACTTAGGCAGGAGCAATTGTTTATTTGGCAAGTCAACATGTTAGTGTTAAGGAAAATTTTATGTTTTAATACATTAGAGTAGGCTTATATTTGCCATCTGTTCTTTTAAGATAACAAAAAAGCAAGTTTTCAAATAGCATTCTTCATTGTTAGCATACACATCCCATACTGATGGGTTTTTATAAGCAGGTCAGCGTTGCTGCAATTGCTTACAGATTTTTTAATGATATACACAGAGAAAGATCGAGGACTGAGAGTCACACCAAATTATTTAAACAATTGACTAGTTAATAACATGCAACTGTTGTACAGGGTACATATGGCAATAGTACCAGTTCTTTTGGAAAAAAAAAATCTCATCACTAAATATATCACATATGCATTGTGTTACATTAGAATAATGTATTTTAATCACCCAAAGGAGATGTCTAAACAGCACAACTACACAGTCTTATTTAGCATTAAACATCCTTGTGAGCTGAGGTAACCTTATAAAATCATGCTTAAATAATGTAAAACACGAGGCGGCACAGAGCAATATGCATTTTTAATTAGTAAAGTGACTAATATCGAGTGTGTGCTTTGAGGTTTTTGTTTCATTAAAAATGTATCTGTTTTTCCTGCAGCTGAATATCTGTATTCTACACCTGAACAGCTTTCAAAAAGGCTCCAGAATTTCTGCAAGAGACCTGATATTGTAAGGAAACATCTCTATAAGGTAGTTATTGAGAAGCGATTTAAGCAGTATAAATGCCATATTGAAGTACAAAGAAAAAAAAATCTTTAAAAAAAACATTTAATTAACATACTAATGTTTAAAGGAAACATGCTAGGGACGGATATTAGTTGTTACACTAACAAGGATTAATTAAACTGGATGCCAGTTGTATTAACCTAGGTCTTATGAAATATGTGCACTTAATGCACGGTACATGCTTTTTTTAAAAAAAATTTATTGTTTTCTAAGATGACTGTCCTTTACATTTAGCCCCAAGAGGCTTATAAAAATGAACCTGGATTAATGTAACTCATTAGTTTAAAAGGAAGTAAAGGAGAGATTCTACAATTATACTAATGAGGATAAGCCTTTCTTCCCATCATAATGAAATCTTCAGTCCTCAAAAATTCAGGTGAACAACGTTAGTGAAGTTTGGTGTTCATTTTTAAACTGTTTTAAAGATGACTTTCAAGAATCAAATGTTTCCCTTGCCCTGTTTAATAAAATGACATTAAAAACCCTCAGTTTGTTTTGAATTAGACTGTCTGTCTCCTCTCAGAATGGCAGAGGCAAAAAGAACATAATTTAAATAGCATCATCGTTCAGTCCTTTTATTCATTATCTTTCTTCCCTTGTTTGAATCAGGAATTTTACATTGTTGAAACAACAACACAAAGAGGCCCGAGTAAATATCTGAGTAATTGAACGGGGATAAATATGCATTATGATTTTGAAGGTGGCTCTAGGCCATGAGTAATATACCTTTTTATATTCTTTGAATGTAGCATCTTCATTTTCCATAAATTCAGTATAGTTTACAATCTAGCAGTTTTATAAGCCAGCGTATTTTAATTTTCCTATGTTAATGTATAACCTCCCTACAGGAAATACAGTTTGCCTCCTTGTGTCTCTCCTTCCCCTTTCATGGCCTAAAATACATATTTGCATAGTGATACATCAAAACATGACTTTGTTTCTGCAGGAAACAGTTAAACTTCAAGAAAAAGGGAGAGAACCAAAAATGCAATTTAACACCCAATTTCAAGCTCATTATCTTTCATTGTCTATTAACTTGGCAATGGTTCAGAAGGTAGCTCATAATAGTTTAAAATGCTGACTGAACAGTTCCAGGCGTCAGTGTTACTCTTGAGTCGATACGATTGTGTCGTGTACATAGGAGCCTCCCACAGAAAACAGTTGTTCAAGGTCTATGTCCAGAGTTCCTAATTTTTAAAGTTTAGTAGTGGTCTTGTTTGTATAAAATATTAATCAAGCTGCTTCCCACGTGACAGACTATCAAAATGTACAGATTGTAACAATTGAAGAAGTAGGATAATAAGTGTTAATACAAATGGATTCATTTGTCATATATGACACCAAACTATTGTCAGTGAGTTCACCATCAAATTATTGATTTTTTCCCCTTTCTGGTGAATTTTTTCCAGTTTTATTGAGATATAATTGATATACAGCAGTTTCATATATTGTGAAATGATTATCGTAAGTTTAGTTGTCATCTATCATCTCATATAAATACAAAAGAAAGAATTTTTTTTCATTGCGATGAGAATGGTAAAGTATTGATCATTGTATTTCCACTGTCAAAATGTATCAGTTTTTAACTTTGCTTCAAGTTATGCCCTGTTATTTTGCATCTGCCAATTTTTAACCATTTCAGACGTTACTGCAGCAAGTTGCCTTTAGTTACAAAAGAAAGCAGGTCTCCAGATGAACTATTTTCATACAGCTACTGCCATAATGTAGCTATTAATTATTTGTTTTACAAACAACTTCTGGAAAAACTCTGAAACAATGTCAGCTTAGTGGTATGCTGTTAATATACCACTTGGTCCTCAGACAGCTTAAAAGATAACATATACCTTACTTGTTATTTCATGTTACTACTTTTTACACGTATTCCACGCATAAGCATTCATAAGAATTTATATGCATAGTTCATTTTTATGTCTTTTTCTACCATGGATTCTTTTCTTATAAATCTATTATACATTTTCCTGTATGTTCTCATTCATAGAACTTGATGATATTTATCTAAAAATTAATCTAATGGCCCAGGAATTGTAAGTAATTAAGAGCTTTAAAATGCAATTGTCAGGAATAACTGGTAAAAATGACAGGAAATACCACAGAGTTAGTGTGGTTGTTGGAGCAGGATTTAGAGCCAAAAGAGAAAAAGAATGGCTTTTAAAACTTTATAATTAAGATATAAGTTACGATCTTTTTATCACTTATGTTTTATAAATATATATATTTTTTTTCAGGTAACATTTGCCTTCACTAAGCACCAGAGAATTATTTCCCCCAGAAAGCTTTTACCTACTTTTCTTATGCAATGGGAGAGTCTTTTGTGCATACTGTAAAGAGAATGTTGAGGGTGGTTTTTTTTTTTTTAGATTTATTCCATTGGAGAGTGCTATTTTGCTTTTATAAAACATATGTTTCTGAGAGCTAAAAGGATAGGATATCACTGAATTTTTAAATTTGCTCCTTTTACATTTTTACACCTTACTCTTTTTTTTTGTTAAAAGTTTACATTTTTTTAAATCATCTCCACTGCTTATCATATAGAGTTCACTTTAGGATAGAATTTTTCATATGGATTCACACACTTAGAAATTTAATGACTAGAATAAGGCTACTAACACTTGGCTTTCTTCTCACATGAGACATTATACTTTCAATATGAGTGAGAGTTTGGGGGCTATAACTTGAAGCAGGATTTGAAACAGAATGCTGAAACAGTAACTGAAAAGCAGAAACAGAATTTGATACTTTTTTTTTTCCTCTTAAAGTGACTTTTTCTATTACAGAACACGGTGCCCATGACTTCTCACCTAAAATGGTTTCAGACTCGAAATGTTTAAATTCCTCTGAATGCACTCTATGCAGTGTCCTCTTCTCTCTCTCTCTCTCTCTCTCTCTCTCTCGCCCTCTCTCTCTCTCTCTCTCTCTCTCACACACACACACACACACACACACACATTTTTCTTAAGAGCTTAAGAGAAATGCAATGCGTACAGAAACTGTTAATTAATTACGTTACAATCTAAAATAATTTTTTAATCTTAAAAATTAAAGCTATTTCTTTAAAACGTTTACATCCGGGCTTAGTCGTTGACTGCAGTGTTCTGGTATTTTCGGACGTTTCCCCTTCTAAGTAGGTTAGACACATCGGCCACACACTTGTCACATAGATAAAATAGGAGCCCTTTATGACTCTCAAACCTCATTTGAACACAAGATTCTAGAAATAATCAGAAAATAATTAGCCAAGGGTTGACTTGTTACACTAACAATAGTTCTTCATTTTATAACCCAGGCAAATCTAATGCCATGAAGTTGTAGATTTTTTTTTTGCCTATTTTACGATGTGAATTTTCTCTGTAAATATTCCTAACAAGTGTTTGAGATCAGTGCTTTATGCTTTTAGAGAACCTTTGATCTTTATATTTTAAAATGCTCTAAGAGAAAAAAGAAGTATGGAGATGTTCTTGTTACCAGTATGGAAAATAGCAAGAGTACAAATAGGGCAGTTGTATATGTAGGTACTTCCCAGACAGAAGTCCTATCTCTTGTTACTTTTATTTACGAATTGAGCAATCTTCTGTATGGGAATAAAAAGAGTTGCCATCCTTTCTTGTGCCTTCTGAAAGTCACTTGTAGTTTCTTAAGATTTTCCAGAAGATAGCTGTTGGTTGTTTGTTTGGGTTTTTTTTCCTCTTCAAGTTCTTTAACATTCTAGAAATCTTTGTAACCTGCTGTTATTCAGAGGAGAGAAGAATTATCTGATTTCTGCCTAAAAGTGAATCCAAACAATGATTAAGCTTATAATTTCAGACTCGGTGCCCAGAAAAGCCATTAGTGGTTGTCTTAATTGGATCAGGCCATAGCTACCCGAACCACAGCCAAGCCACTCTAAGTTTCCTTTAAGAGACAGGCCACATTATAGTCCTCTTTTAATTTGAACTTATACTCTAGATGTGAATAAGGTGTTGCTCACTAATATTAACAGCTCTCCAAAGTCATTACCTTTTCCTTAAAGATGGAAACTTGAAAGCATGTGCCATTTCTAGAACTTCTGAAATCTCTCAGCAGCATTAGCATCATTTAAGGTGAATTCTGTCAGTCCCCTTCCTCTGTCCTCCCTACTCCTCCCTCTCTCCTTCTGCACTGCCTTCCTTGATTTTATGGGGCTTAGTTATCCTTTGATTTGTCTAAGTGAAATATAAGTAAAGAACCTTTAGCACAATAGACACACTCTGGGTGATTCAGATCACTTAGCGATTTTGACTCCTTGTCCCCTGCTGCTTGCTTGCAGCCTAGCTCCAGGTAAACTTCTTAACCCCTATATGATTCATCTGTAAACTTGGAAGGCTTTTTTTTTTCTTAATTCTTAATAGCATTTTTCCCCTGAGGTACTGCTCTAATGAAATAATGACTATAAACCAGTTAGTAAACTTGAAGTGCTTTGTAAATTCCACGTAGTTGTAATGGCATTTCTCTTGTGCCTTCACCACTTAAAAGTAAAATTCACATTTGCAAAAACATGTATATCTTGTGTATATAAAGTTAAAAGTTGGATGATAAACTTCTAATAGCTGTCATCCATCACATAAAGCAGGAAGTATATGGGCAGCAGACTGTACACATTTGAAAATACACACACTCACACACACACACACACACACACACACACAAAAAAAAAAAAAAAAACCAGGAGCTTTCTCCTGCGCTTGGAAATAGTTCTATTTTAAACCAATCAGAAACTGGGATTTCCTGAGGTGATGAAACTGGAGAACCATATACTGGGTGGCTTTTTGAAACCCAATTGATGTCCATGATGCAAATGTCCAGCATGAATGTCCAGCATGCTTTCATCTCCGGGTCCTTCATGCCCCTTCCTTCTTTCTCTCCCTTCCCCTCGCAGGGTGAGATGACTCCTTTCTCCTGGGCAGCCCTGCGTGGCCAGTTCAGGTCCCTGCTCGCCACGGAACCGGGGGAAGGTTTGCGACAGATGGGGCTCCCTCACAAACCTGCAGCCTAAGGCAGAGCCTGTAGAACTTTCCAGAGTGTGCCCATATTTACCTGATCAGAGAGAAAAGAAAATCTGCAGAGGAAGCCGAGCCTGGCTGCTTGTCATAGCTGACACGGAGCCATCTGCCACAAACCTGTGGCGGCTTCAGATCTCCAGTCCCTGCCACCGCCCCGACTCAAATTAAACACAGATTCCCAGAGACGTTATGATGGTTACACATGTCCTCGGCATCGCATGGAGGAGACTGTTCAAAAAAAAATATGTGGCCTGTTGTATAACTGCGCTCATGTACCCCATATGTGGTGCCACATTGAATTTCCGGTTGGATCCGTTTGTATCCTTTGTACTGGATGACATGGTGCCTGAATTCTTTCTTTTCGCCGACACGATGGCAGCCAAACGGCAGCTTCAAACGCTCGCACTTGGCTGGGTTTCTACCTGGGGTGCCAGGTTATCATCGGCGGTGTCCTCCGAGGGCCAGGGCTCTGGAAGGGGGATCAGGATGCCTGGGACTAACGGGCGGCCTGTCTCTCTTTCTCTCTCGGAGTTGTTTGTGGCAAAGGGCTGCGGTAGCACTTTTCTTTAGCAAATGAATGACTCCCTGGCACAGGGGTTTGTAAGTGAAGGTATGCATAAGGGCCTGGCAGGTATTCCGTGATCCAGAGTTACAGTTGAGCTTCATTTATCTGAAAGAAAGTTGCAAGATAAACAGCTGTAATCCAAACAAACATGGGCAATACTGGGAGTGGGCCAGCTTGCCCATCAAATGAAAGGTGAGGTACCTGTTTTAATTTTTTTTTTCATGGGCAAAAACAGAGAAATCAAAATACTTCGAACAAAACCAGTCATTTTGATATAAATAGTCCTTGAACATATTTGGATTCAGCTACAAATATAATATTTTCAAGATCAGTCACTTATGATTCCAATACTCAGGTTGCCTGCATTTGTTGATGTAAAAGATGTTTTGAACGGCGAGATTGTAAAATAAATCTTTAATAAAGTGCCCGCTGCCATTTCTTAATTAGCATAGCTCCTTTTCATGTCATTGTGTGCGTCTGTCTGTCTGTTTCTCACTGAACACTGGCCTCCTGTCAAGAGACAGCGAATACAATGGTTTCTTTTCCGGATGAACAAGGATCTGTTTTGCAAATGTTTGCAAGATATTATGACATTTCCAAGATTTTCTTTGCATTCTGGAAAACAGGAGGTAAACATTTGTAGTCATTAAGGTAAAGTCTGTTGATAAACCATCTTCTGTTTGCTGACAGGTAAATTGTAACTTTCCTGGCTTTTGAAACGAGTTACTTCCATACACTGCGGCTGAGGAGCAGCCAGGAAGAGGAGGGGCGACAAGGCCATGAGTGGTCTAGAGGCATCCCCTCTAGAGCAGGCAATGGTGCAGGATCCAGAAGGGCCCCTGACAGGTAGCAAACCATAAGAGGCCATAGATCAAGGTCAGGGGGGCAAATAGAGGTCTGGGCGCAGGGGGGCTTGTGGGTCACCGAAAGGAGGAGTTCAGGGTCCACGAGGCCGGGAATTTAAATGCAGAAAGAGTAGGAAGCAGAAACAACCAGGTCCATGTTTGCACAGAGAGTCCTCTCCTAACTAATGTGGGATCCAAAATGCATGCTGGGACATCACACCTCGTCTGTGGAGAAGTCCCCGAGCAAACTACCTCCTCGCCCACAAACCAGAGGATTCGGGGGTTATTTCGGAAGTCCCTTCTATCCAATGCTGTGGAAGTTGTCATCTGGCAGGTGGGCTCCCCTGGAGTGCAAAAGGAAAGATATCAACACGCATCACAGGTTCTTAGACACTTCTCCAGGGCAGTGTTTGTCACTAAGGAGATGAGTGGCACCAGTAAGCTGGCTTCGTCACAAAGATCCATGTCAGAGACCACGCCTTCTCAAATCCTATTACAATCTCACAGCCAAGAAACAGGGTTCAGTTTACTGTGTTTTCTGTCCTGAAAACAGTGGGCTCACATTTTTTTTTATTGATGAGAGAGAGAGAGAGAGAGAAACATTGATTTATTGTACCACTTATTTTCATTGTTTGCTTCTGTATGTACCCTGACCAGGGATTGAACCCACAACCATGGAGTATTGGGATGATGCTATAACTAACTGAGCTACCTGGCCAGGGCTAGAGCTCACAATAACCATCCACATATGTTTTCTCGCTAATTGATGGGGGTAAGGGAGCAGCATTAACTACCTTTTAAACATTTAAATACTAGAGGCCTGGTGCATGAAATTTGTGCACATGTAGGGTCTCCAAGCCTGGCCAGTGATCAGGGCCAATCAAGGCCTTCTGGCTGCCGGCTGGGGCCTTCCTTCATTCTGTGCTGCCCCCCTGGTGGTCAGCACAGAATGAAGGGTAGTCAAACTCCCAGGGGACAATTTGCATATTAGCCTTTTATTATATAGGATTTTCCTGATTTTTCCAAATATAGTATTGAAAGTTACCTGTGTATGGAGTTTTTTCTACACCCACAAACTCAAATCAAGTTTTGTCTTTTGCTGTGGACAGCATTCCTTCCTGAAAATAAATTTACATTAAAGTTGCCACTTTGTAAAACTATATAGTTAGAATTGGTATTCGTGCAAATAAGCAATAAAAAGTTTGTAAATGTGTAATTCTTAACATGTGAAAAGACAATTCTGTGTGTGTGTGTGTGTGTGTGTGTGTGTGTGTGTGTGTCTCATGTGCTTCCCAACACCCATGCTGTGGTGGAACAAAGTATTATTAAGTAAGTTAATCCATAGTTTGTTAAATTCAGAGAATAATTGAAAATACAAGTTGCCTCTGTAATTTTTGTTTCCCTTACTCTCACCAGAGACCTGATATTTTAAATTAAAATTGGTTCAACAATTTCATTTAAAAGAATAAATTTAATAAAATTAAAACAAGACCAATACTTTCGACATGTAATGTTCAAAAACAAGAATTTTTTATCTTTACTTATATTCATCACAATACAGTGTCCATGATGCTTGCCCGAAATTTACTTCATCTAGGTCAGTGGTCGGCAAACTGCAGCCCCTTGAGTGTGACTCTTCCACAAAATACCACGCGTGGGCGTGCACGTACAGTGCGATTTGAAACTTCGTGGCCACACTCAAGGGGCCAAAGAGCCGCATGTGGCTCGCGAGCCGCAGTTTGCCGACCACTGATCTAGGTAATGCTCTGGCTAGATGTTTCTATAATAAAATAACAGGGCACCTAGTTCTTACCCTACTCATTACACCGTGTTGATCAGGAATAGGCCAAGAGACCTTTCTCAAAATGCACCTGTGTGAATAAGTGTCCTTCAAACACAGTCAAGGTTAAGTGCCCTGCTCTCACTCTCAGTTCTTCAGTTGCGCCACATAAAAGCGGCAGCAGATTCAGTAAGTCGGCGGAAACTCCCAGCCACAGAGGGCTGCATAGATTCATTTCAACACCTTGAAATGCATCTGGAAGCAAAGATTTCATTTTGTGTCCAAGGTGTTAATTATATTTGATATTTTTAAAAGTAAAATCTGTTTTTGAGAAAGCATCTGCTACCCAGAAATATTGAGACACGAAAAAAAATTTCATTTAAGTTTCATGCTTTCTGTGGGTGATAGAATCGGTTTTCAAATGCTAGTCTGTGCTGTCTTTTAATGTCGGCCTCGTCTATGAGTTTTATGCTGCTATTGACTTACTGACAAGTGGAGCCCTAAGTGCCTTTCAGTTTCAGTGCAAAATTGAGTGGTATTTAATATGAGATTTTATATTTAACAATAAAGTGAGTATATTATAAACCACTGACATGAACACGTTTCATTATAATATTTGAATTGACATACGGGACAACTAATGTTTGTATAATATCCCCCTTCCCCCTCCCTACCCCCCGGGCTTCAAAGCTATTCATTAAAATGTAACTGGAAAAAGTTTTAAAACATGCAAACAATTCTATGTGTTGTTTAAAGATATGCACATATGAGATTAACATGTAACAAACAAAAAAAAAACACATGGGAATTAACACCAAAAATACAATGACGGTTAAGTCAGAAAAGCAATGGTAGAAATACTAACTGGTAGCGGTACATTCCCTGTACAGTCAGTGGTCTATTTCTTAGGCTGGGTCATAGTACACAGGGGCTTATTCCTAGTCTTTGTCACTTTTTACATGTCTTTAATGTTGTTATTGGCTATACCTTTTGATTGGAGCTATAAATACCTTGGGACGCCTATGGTTAATTTTGTCACCATGCCATCCTTAATATCTCTTGACTCTAAACTATTGACCACGTCAGAAAACTGTTTTCCCTCAACTCTCCAAGAAAGTGCCCCCACTGTCGGTTTTGCGGGACAAGCCTCCCCCACTTGCCCTGAAAGAAACCATACTGTGAAGGAAGTTGGACTCGACAGTACATGGGTTCCTTTTTCCCTGGAGCCTCTGATCATTTTTTTGTAACTGGTGCCTGTACTGTTTCTTATGCAAGATGGAAAATTCTAGGAAAATGTTAAATGAGTCCGTCTTCTTATCTTGACAGATTCAGAGCTGGGAGAGCACAGAACTGTCTGATTTCCTGACCACTCTGCCCACTTCCCGTATTGTCACCTGTCCCCTTTCCAATTTAAGACTCGGGAACCAAGTGTGGCTCTGTGTGTTCACTGAAGCCATCCCGTGAAAAGGAGTCCTCCCTAGTGTCTTAAGCATGCCTTCCCTGCCTGGGAGGCACATAGGATTTCAGGGACCAGGATCCCCACTCACCCTATGGCCCATTTCCCTCCCATTATCTACCGTTACCTGATTGGTGCCTTATTCTCTCCCAGCGCTCTATGGTAATGATGTTCAAACCTAGGGCGGGTTCATAACTGTCCTTGTAAACTGATTTAAAGAATTGGTGTTTCTTGGGAGATCTTCTAAAATGCTCCTAGAAGTTAGTTACTGCGTTCATATAGCAGACCTACCAGTCATGTGGGGTGCTAGAAGATGCCACTGCTACTAGAAATACTTATGTAACACCTCTCTTGGAATTTGAAGTCCTTTAGATTTGAAAATGTAATGTTTCCATTCCTACTTCACCAATGAGAAAACTAAGGCATCTGATAATGGCATAGTTAGGAGCCACACTGTGTTACAAAGATTTTTGGATAAACCTTTCCCTTCATGGGATAGTGTCATTGTCACCTCTGTGTCTTTCAGGGAGCACCAAGCCCAGTGGTCCTGGCTCAGTTGGGCCCCCATTTCCGTCTAGTTCTCCCCCAACCAGGCAAGAGAGTGGACAGAGCAGCAGGGGGTTGTTGCGTTGCCCACATGGGTGTAAAAGGGGCACGAGAGACCACGTAGAGTAGCCATTAGTTGAAGTGTTTATTGCTACTATAAACAGGTAGGGTAGGGGGGCAGTCAGTCACTCCCTGTGATCTTACAGTCTGCTGGATTACCTGGCTCTCCTGGTGAGCATTTATGTCTTGCAACCTCCCCAGTATGGTGGCCCTGAGGAGAAGCTGAGGCACTGTGGGTCCTGGGCACGTAGAGGCAAGTCTAGAACTCAGCCTTTCTGAGGAGGCTGTGGTCAATACAGTTGGTCAACACCATCCCTTAGCCCTGGCTAGTGGCTTGCTTGGTTGGAACATCGCCCCATACGCCAAAAGGTGGCGGGTTCCATTGCCTGTCATGGCACATACCTAGGTTTCAGGTTCAGTCCCGAGTTGGGTGGGGCGCCTCCAGGAAGCAACCGATCGATGTTTATATATTTCTCCTTACTCCTGGCTGCATTTGTATTCTAAGTAACAATAAGGAGAAGAATTCATAAGCATTGATTCCAGGTACTAAAACGTTAGGCTCTGTGGCACCTGTGATAGTTCTGAACAGCTGAGTTTCCCTGTTGCCCCTCCCATCATACAGCGATGAAGCCATTTATCCACACAGGTGCAGGCTGGCTCCTGGTCCAAAAGGCAGCCCCCGACCGCGCCTGGTGCAAAGGGCCTGGGGCAGAGGGAGCAGGTGGCATCGGCGGCAGAAGCACCTTTAATTTCGCAGCA